CCGTGACGTCACCGCTGGGGGCGAGACCGGGCCAGGCTGCCACGTGCGCGTCCGCGGGGCGGAGCCTCTTGAGCCCCCCCCCGCCGCCTGTCCCGGGCACCCGGGAGCACTAGGCTCGAAGTGGCATCGGTGGCTGCTGCCCTGCTGAGACCCTCGGCCTGCCGGCGCACAAGGGCAGGAGGAGGTGTTATGGGACCCGACCCTCCCAAACTGGTCCATCCGCCAGGGCGGCCATTGCCCGGGAGTCTCTCCAGGAGTTGGATGCGAGACATCGGGGAGATCAATGAGAGGGCCCTGGTTAAAATAAATATTATTACATGTTGAATCTGAGTTCTGCAGTAGTCCAGTAGGTTTTTAAAATGTAGTAGTCATGTGCATTTGCCCTCCTGATGTAAAATGTCTGCGCTGTAATCCGTACTGGATACATACGTAAGCACGTGGGCATGTTCGCATTGTGTGTTGTGGGCACTGCGGCAACCTCCCAGAATAGATTCAACCAGAGTTGGCAACCCCAGGCACCGCTGGTGGAAGGCAGGGGTCCCGCAGAGCCCTCACACCTGGGCCGTGGTGCTACTCGTGGGGGTCGGAGCGGCTACCTGCTGCGTGCAGCATGGGCTGCATCGGCCCCCCTTCCTGGATCCAGCAAGTGAGCCTAGTCCGCAGCCCCGATCCAACCCGACGCAACGCCTCTGGTCTAAGGAGTGCAAGTCAGGGGGTTGGACTCGGTGACCCCCCTGAGTCCTCTTCCAGCCCTGCATCCTGATGCTTCTGTGAAATGAAAGTTCGCTGCTGCAACCAAACAAGCCCCGTTGTGGAATTTTCCTGTGCTGGCCACCACCCCAGCAAACCCGTTCTTCTCCCAGTCCCAGCCTCCCCCTGGCCAACAAGGCCATTTGAATGTTTTCTTTGCTCCAAAACAATCTGGGGATTTATTTTCTTAAAGCCGCCACACTGTTTTCCGTTTATTTCCCTAATGCAGAAGCGGCTCTGCAGATTTAGCACCTGCTCATACGTAAATATTGCCATTGGGTTGGAATCCAGCTGGAAAATTTCAGCTCGGGAGAGGCTGCCCAGTCCGATGGCTACAGGGCTGGGCTGAGGATTCGGGAGATCGGGAGGTTGTTCTCAGCTCTGCCACCCACATCCCGGGCCAGCTCGTGTGAACTGATGTGCATCTCGGCTCCCTGGCACTGAGGCTGGGAGAAGGTTGCCCTTCTGCCCCTAGGTTGTAATCTGTTGCAGTGTGTCCACGCAGCACCCAGGACACTGATGTCCCAGGCTTGGGGGTGGCTTATTGGTGAACGTGGATGTTTGCTGCCCTTTGGAGCTGGTCACTGGATGCCTGGGTGGCTGTCTCTACCCACTGCCATGTGTGCAGCATGCCATCCACCCCATCACAGCAGCTTCCTGCATCGCACAGGCCCTGCAAGGCCCCTGCTAGGACCACTGAGTCCCTGATGCATGGGAGCAGAGGGAGGATGGAGCTGCAGAGAGGGCTCTTGAGCCAAGATCTGTGGGGAGGGAGGAGAGGCCACGCAGGGCAGAACATGAGATCCACGGGGGTGAGATCCTGCCCCTCCTGACATCCCAGAGCAGGTTCAGGCTCCAAGGCAAGACCATTGGGAAGCTGCTGGAGCTCAGCCCACCCTACAGCAGGATCCTTCAGAAGGGGGTAGCTACTTGGATCCTGTGTCCTTGCTGCAGCCTGAAGTCATTTAAACCCCCATAAAAAGAAGTAGGGAAAGGGGAACAAGGTGAGGAGGGAGGGTGTCTTGCAGTGACAGCCTTGGTCTGGGTTCCCAGGAAGTGCAGGGGGCAGAGGAGCAGGGAGCAACATGCTGCTGGCTGCCCTGTGCCCAGGCACGGGAAGGGCTGGGGCGGGCTGTACAGGCCAAGTGTTTTGCATTCTCTTTGGCGTAGGCTGCCAGCACCCACAGGCCAGGCATGCTAAGCGTGCACCCGATCAGCTGCCATTCATTCCCTCTCCAGAGGGAGAGGTTTCCAAAGCCACCACAACAATGGAGTGGCCCCATGGGCCTCCAGGCTGCTCTCCAGCCAGAATTGGGCCCACAAGGGTGGTAGTCAACTAGGGCCTGGTTATACCCCTGGTGTGAGGTGCAGTGAGCTCACATGCAGGGTGTAGCAGAGGCTGCAGAGAGAGGCTGGACTGTAGCTACATCTACCTGCCCCTCACCTCTGAAGTCCAGTGCATAATCCCCTACAGCCAAGGTATTCTCCCTGCTAGAGACTGAGGCCTTTGGGTGGGCCTGGAGGCAGCGGGGCTGACTCTGTGGACTGTTCTCAGCAGAGCAAAATGTGGCTGTTCCCACTGAGTAGCATTTTGCGCCTGCTTTGTGTTCGCACAAAGGGCTTCCCAAGATGCAGGGGGCTGGGCAAATTCAGGACACCTGGGTTCTCTCCCTGGCTTTCGGAGTCTTCACACCCTTCCTGGTATCTCAACATGAGGACAAGGGTCTCTGGACACCTAAATTCTTTCCATGACTCTGGGAGTCTTCACACCCATCGCAGTGTCTCATGATTGGAAACAAGGACAAAATCTCAGGACTCCTGCGTTCTCTTCCTGCCTGGGCCAGCAGCTTGCTGCATAACCTCTGTAAGCCACTTTCTCTTTGTGCCTCGGTTTCCCCTTTTGGAAATGTGTGGAGAGCTGTGTCAGGTGCCAGGTTTAGAATACCTGGCTTTGCTCTCTCTGAGATCTACTCCCGAGCTTCACCAGAGCAGAGCAGAGCAGGGCCCCCTTCTCACTGGTAGCACGTGCAGCTCCTTGCACACTGGTCAGACTCTGGTCCCATAGAGGCTGCTTTAGTATAAATGACAGCAACTCAGCTGATTCTCCTTGGGCAGGATTTTTGTCTACATTTGGCCGAATTGGAAATGAGACGTAGAAAGGAGAATCCCACCACAGAGGTGGCTGCGTCTCGGCAGAGGTCTCTGTGTGCAAGCCCAAGGTTGGGGCCAGAGGGAATTACATCCAGACATAATAAATGAGCCAGGCACCAGGCGATGGAAGTCACACTCCCTCTCCCTCTGCCCCCTGCATGAGCGATGGTGTCACACTGGCTTCTGGACAGGTCCAGCCCATCCTGGGGACACATCAGGCAGTGGCTAAATTACTGCTGGATCAGGGTTAGCACAGACACACGGGCAGTTACCCCAGAACCTGCTTGCTCTGCAGCCAGCCTCTGCCTCCTTTTAACTCAGAGCAAGTCTGTTCATTTCCCTGTGCCCTGCATCAAATTTTGTGTGGGACAAGGATTGCTCTCTGCGCCCCCAGCCCTGTCTCTCCCCGGCAGGCTTTGCTCCGTGCACTGGCTGGGGTATCTGTTGCACTCGGAGGTGCTGATGCTCTCCGGCAAACATCCACTCCAGTAGGAGCAGCGCAGGCCTCACCATGTGCATGGTTCAGCTGACCGGGGCTGTGAATCGAGGGCTTTGTTCTCCCCCGGCCGCCTCCTGTTGTTTATCTCCCGCACAAAGGGATTGTTTATCATGTCGGAGGCACCGAAAAGTCCAGCAAAGAATGAGAAGTCTGTGCCCTGCAGCCTGGCCCCCTCGAGATGGGGGGGAGGGAGGGGTGTCACAAATGTGTTTTCCCTGCAGTGTTTGTGCAGAGGGGAGATCTTTCCCAATGCCTGTGACAGCCCCAAAGCTGTGTGTGCTGTGTTATTCCCCCTCCTCCTAGGGTGCATTTTGTGTTGCTTTCCAACATCCCAGAGGGTTTGCACATCCGGAGGGGAGCAGGGGCCTCCTCCTTACCTTCTGGCACCTCATTCCCCAAGCCCTTTTCATTGAGGGGTCGCTGGGTCCTGGCACTGCAAAGCAGCCACCTCTGGGCCAAAACCCAGCCGCTGCCCAGCAGCATGCTCGTCGCCCACCCATGAGGAAATCCCTCCTGGGCCCTGGCATACAAGCTGCTCTGGTGTTCAGGGCCAGAGTGATGGGAAGGAGCCTCAGACCCACCGGGCCCCAGTGCCGATGTCTGAGCCCAGGCTCATGACCAGGCAGGATCCAGTCCCACCAGTCAGGATCAGCATTCGATACTCTTTGTGCTAGTGTGAATGACTGCACCTGGAGCCTCCTCCATTTACCAAGCGGCTATGGGTGCAGATCTCTCCGTACCCTTCCTTCAGGGCTGTGTGGATGGCTCAGCACAGGCTATAGCTACCCCCACGTGGGCTGAGATGCTGGACTCTCACCTTGCCCGCAT